GAGGCATCACAGTCTGGGTACAGTCCAGTCAGAACATCTTGTAAACAGAGTCTCTGTTGACTACTCTAACTTTGAGAGTCACGTCAAAATCAAAGATACAGACCCAAATCTCATGTGGAGGTAGCTTAGGACAGAATCTATCTAATGGGGGTTTTCGGGGAGCTGATTCCAGAAAGTCACTTCAAGACTTCTGTCTGTTATCCAGCCTATGCTAGTTAGTCTACACCTTGCCTCTTTCCTGCTATCATGTTTCCAGGAAAACAAATAATATTCTCCCTGAGACGACTGTTCATCAGGAAGCAGAGATACCTACTTTACCTTTTTAGCACCCAAATACATTCACCCAAACCAGTGGTCTCAGTTAAAATCAAAACCTTTTAAAGTTCTTGATCTGGTTTTCCTGTACAGCACAGCTTCTGAATCAAAAGAAGGGGGAGAGATTCTAAATTTGGTTCAGCTGGTTTCTCATACTTCTTACTGAAGAAAATCTGGAAGCTAAGAAGCAAAATATGTAGGTTGCATTTTCAGTTTAAAACTAATGGAAAAAAATACTCAGTATATTTCACTGTTTCCAATTTTTAATCTCTGTTTTTATTCACTCTCAAGAGCAATCACTTCCCCATGGGAACTTTATAACAGTTGTCTGTGGTTCATTCTGGAGGTAAAATTTCCCCTAAGAACTTGGAAATAAGGGAGATATGAGTGGTCTCTGGGGAATAGACTTTAGGACCAACGCAATGACCAGAAGATAAAATCACTTTTAAAGTAAAAGAGTGGCTCTGGGTTTAGAAGACCTGAGACTATGCTTATTAACCAAAATCATTACCAAAGAAGGAGTACAACAAAAAGGGGGATGTGAGAGGGGCCAGGCACAACCATTTACAGAAGAAGAACAGACTTTCCTGGGCAGACTCCCCAGGCAAGATCCCCCAAACTTCTGAACTACTCACAGACCCTTCCTAATGGGAGAGCACCAAACATATTGGGCCTTGATTCATCCAATGCCTTTGTCCTAATTCAGTCCTCACTGAGCAGCCTTCCTTATGTGACTTGCTGTGTAAGCCTGTCTATGGGGAAAGAAGGCACTGACCACATAGGCTTGGACTCACCTATACAACCACAGGTGTGAACTGAATCCTCTCTAAGTGCCTGGCTCTGTCCTAGACAACAGACATACAATAGAAAACTCAACAATTCAGGTCCTTAGGGAAAACACAAACAAGCAAATAAATAAGTAACTGCAGCTAGTGATAAGAACCATTAAAAAATAATAATAATAAAGGCCACGCCTGTAATCCCAGCACTTTGGGAGGCAGAGGCTGGAAGATCGCTTGAGCTCAAGAGTTCAAGATGAGCTTGGGTAACATGGTGAAATCCCATCTCTACTACACAGAATACAAACATTAGCTGGGCATGGTGGCATGCACTTGTAGTCCCAGCTACCTGGGAGGCTGAGGCAGGAGGATCTCTTGAGCCTGAGAGTCAAAGGTTGCCGTGAGCCCAGATTGTGCCACTGCACTCCAGTCTGGGTGACAGAGACCCTGTCTCAAATAATGCTAATAATAATAATAAAGCTAGGTGATGGACTAGATAATAGCTGGGTGGTAGGTGGTTTAAGAAGAGGGATCAGGAGTGGCTTATTTGAAAAAAAAAATGACATTTAATTTAAGAGCAGAGACAAAGCCTACCCCAAGCATTTGTTTCGTTTTGTTTTGCTTTGAGAAGGAGTCCTGCTCTGTCACCCAGGCTGGACTGCAGTGGAGCAATCTTGGCTTACTGCAAGCTCTGCCTCCCTGGTTCACACCACTCTCCTGTCTCAGCCTCCCAAGTAGCTGGGACTACAGGCGCCCGCCAACATGCCCGGCTAATTAGTAAAGACGGGGTTTCACCATGTTAGCCAGGTTGGTCTCGATCTCCTGACCTCATGATCTGCCCGCCTCGGCCTCCCAAAGTGCTGGGATTACAGGCGTGAGCCACCGCACCCAGCCCCAAGCATTTTCTAAAAGCATTTTCTAACTACGCTTTTTAAAAAGTCATGTATTGACACGATGGTAGAGAAAAGCATGATGAAAAGACTTAGAACCAGCAATGCGAAAGGGAGTATGAAGTGTGTAGACAAGTTAGGTAATGGGTAGATTCTTTTTTTGTGCTTGCCCTTCATCAAACACAGCTGAAGCCCTACTTCCTCACTGCCAATCCCTGCCCAACCCTCTCCCAGGTTTGCACCCCCAGATGTTAAACATGACTGTGCCTCTGGCTGATAGCTTGGTGAGGATCCAGAATCTGCCATGTAACAATGGGGAAAGAGAGCTTCTCTGCAGAGGGAACAGGAAAAGCTGTCAGAGAAGAACAAACCCAATGCTTCTTTGGAACTTACAGTGAATCTGGAGCTTTATGAACACGGGGAAAAGTACAGGAGCCAGGATCAGAGAAACAGCCAAGAGCAGAGCCACAGGAAAAAGCTTTAGTTTTACTGTAAGTCCAGTAGGAAGTAAGTAAGTGACATGACCTCATTTGCATATTTATTTTTATTTTATTTTTTTGAGATAGAGTCTCACTTTGTCACCCAGGCTGTAGTGCAGTGGAGCATGAGCAGCCTCAACTTCCCAGGCTCAGGTTATTCTCTCACCTCAGCCTTCAGAGAATCTGGGATTACAGGTGCACACCACCATGACCACCAATTTTTGTATTTTTAGTAGACATGGGGTTTCCCATGCTGCCCAGTCTGGTCTCAAACTCCTGGACTCAAGCAATCTGCCCATCTCCGCCTCCCAAAGTGCTAGGATCATAGTCTTGAGTCACCATGCTTGTTTACGTATTTTAAAGATCCCATTGGCTACTGGGCGGAGAATAAACTGCAAGGCTAAAGGTAAAAGAAGCAGCAAGATTAGTTAGAAAGTTCTAAAAGTACCCTAGGCAAGCAGTGATGTGGCTTGACTAGGATGTCAGCAGTAGTGTTGGAGAGAAGAGAGTAACTTTAGGGCATATTTTGGAGATGGAGTCCCAGGACTTGTTGATAGACATGTATGTGGGGTGGAGAGTCATGCTTCGGCTTAGCAGAGTAGTGATGTTTATGGAAACTAGTAAGATCGGGCTCTTTGATGGGCTTGAGATGTCCACTAAAGGCACAAGTAGAGATTAAGTTAGGCAGCTGGGACTCCTGGGAAAACATTGAGATGAATATATAAATTAGGCACTTATCTGTGCCTAGATGATCTCTAAAGCCATGGGCATTCCCAGCCTTGAGGTGGTGATTTTTCACTGTAAATTAACAAATTGGGTAACTTATTAAGGTAGTGGGAGCCAAGCTAAGATGCCCCAACACAGCTGGTCATCCCCAGTGTGGGCCTGCCCATCTGCTTTGCCAAAGGCCTCAGTTGAGAGCTGCTTCTACAAGGTTGTTTTGTTGTGTTTCCACATATAAAACTCTGTGCCCAAGTTCCCCTTTATTCTTAGGGATCAACGTGGAAATCAGAAAAAGTGATATTTATTTAAAATGTTTTTGAAAAAATGCATGACAGTGCTTACTTGGTGGAATAAAGAAATATTACACAAATAAAAGAGAAACTTAAATAAGCAGATTAAGCGATACAACCAAACACTTGTGTAGACCTTTTCTGAGGCCACATGCAGTAACCAGAGCTCCTTGACTTTGAACTCAATGTGGAAAGGCTCTATTGGTTAAGTAACCTAACGAAACAAGTACCCCAAAAAGTCATGATAGACATCCTAGAATAAAATGAACATAGGGCAATTTATATTTATCCCCTTAATAGTTATTCATTGAGTAATTACTATGTAATTACTGTGTTGACTTCATGCCCTCCTGGGGCTCCTTTCTCAGCAGAGGAGACAGACCATACTAAGGGATGGAGCTGATGGAGGTGGGTGTGAAATACCTTTTGACCAAGGTAAGAAGGTGATAGGCAGTTCCAATGAGAAAAGGACCCTTAGTTAAGCTGCCCCTAATGGGGCAGCTGGGCTCAGGATCTGCTGAACCAGCCTGAGAAGGCTGAACCTTCTCTCCTCTAGGCTCTATGCTTCATTTTAAGTGCCCATCTTTCCCCCTCAGGCTGATGGCTGCATCCTGTAAACCATTTAAGTGTTAAGATCCAAGAATGCTTGACTTTTCATTTCAGATTATGTAGGATGAACCAGTTTAGGTAAAGGAAGTTTCCTTAGTATCACTTCCAATTGACTAGAAATTTACCATGGGGTTTGTGGCCAGTGCCCTGACTGGCTATAAACATGTCTTGCTCTGCAGGTCACTGACCTGAGTGTGTATTTCCCTCAAGGACCTGGGAGAGAGGAGTGACTATGGCAGGACAAGGTTCACCTTATCTTGAAGTCCCTAGGCCAAAAATTTTATTAGTAGCACTCTTAACTAGCACCTCCATTTCATTATTGCCAACAGTCAGGCTTTTAAAGGGCTTCAGAGGCTACAGACTTTTTTTCAATGTCTGAACTTCAGATGAGTTGTCATAAAATCACCTTTGTTCTACATGATGCATTGTGCCTGGATGAAACAACTCATTATAAAAGGAGAACATTGCCCTTCCCCACCATGTCAGAATTCAGTGTTTGCCACAAAGGCAGCATCAGCTTCAACCGAAGATAATAGTCACATACACATACTTACAATCACAGCTGAGTTTGATATTTTACCTATGACAGTCTTTTATTAAACCCTTTGTAAGAGATTTTAAATACTTTTATTCTTTATAACTTGTTTGGATAACACTGCACAAGAATGCCCCTCCCTTTCCCCATTTCTCTGCACTATCACCAAAGGCCAGTTATATTCTAGATAATCAGCACATAAAGTAAAATCAGAAAAGAATTAATTATTTCCATGTTTACCTATAAAGATAATGGTTTGAAACCTGTTACTGTGTTTTTCTTCCTGGACAATTCCTCATTGGAAATTACAGAACACAGGCTCTAGGTGCCACAGCCTTTTGAAAACTTCTATCCTGAGAGGATCACAGACCTTGCCTTACCTTTAGTTGAACTAGATGTACATCCACATGTTTGCTGTCCGAATCCTGCTGGACTGAATAGGTTAGGTCTCGGACCCTCTCTGAGGTCATCCGGAGCCAGGTCTCAATTTCAGGTAAGTGGAGGACAATTTTCCAGTCAGCCCCTGTGTGTAGTGGGGGTGGCTTTTCATACTGCTGGTCAGAGTCCATGTCCTTCATTGCCTCTTCTCCCTCACCTTGCTCCACAGTAGGGGTCACATTGATGGCCATGGGTGAAGCATCAGTAGCCATGGGATCCAGGTCCTGTGACCTCAGGGGGGAAAGTGTCACGCTCATGGTTAACATGGAGAAGTCTAAACCTCACTTCTTTCCAAAACAGCTGAAAGGCAAGAGGAAAGAAGAAAGCAAGAGTCAGTCAAGATTGCCAAATAAAGAAATGATACTTCACAGAAGAAACAGGATTTCTAAATTAAGCCAGATTTCTAAATTAAGAAACCATAGCTCATAACAAAAACAGAAAGAGGTGTTTTGATTTTCTACATGGTAGCCCCAAAAGCCAGGAAATAATATGAACATAAAACCATTGTGATATTGCCTACTACCCCCCGCCACCCCCATCTACTTTTCCCTCATTTCTTAGTAACAAAATCCGAGTTTTTAGCTGTTCATATTCCTGCCCAGAATTTAAAACTACATTCCCCATCTCCTTTGCAGCTAGGTGTGGCCATGTTCTGGCCAATGAGTGGAATTGTTGTGAAGAAATTCTGGGAGAGCTGCTTACAGGGAGCTGACTCAATGAGGAGGGGCTCCCTTTATGCCCTTCTACTTTCCTCCCCTTCTTCCAGCCTGTAACGTGGACTTGATGGCCAGAGCAGCTGGCAACCCAGACCCAGAAAGGCCTTTGACTATGATGGGTGGAGGATGGTGGAGCATGGAGGTAGAAACACGGGTCCCATATGATAACAGAGGAGCTACCATACCAGGTCTGAGTGCTGCCCTGTACTTCTTTTATGTGAGAAAAAAGCCAAACTTCTATCTTGTTCAAGCCACGATTATTTTGGGCTTTTCTACTAAAAGTATCCAAACATCATTTTGACTATAAAATCAACATATTCAATACATGGGACAGCTACAGTGGGAAGATGTTCTAATTACAAAAAACACTGAGTTGAATTCAGGAGATGTTGCTCCTTTCTATGACTTGTTAGCTAAATAATAACCTGTGACAATCCCAAATCTTTACTTTCCTAGAAAATATAAATCATGGATTGTACTGAATAGATCTAATTAACTCTCAATCTAAATTATATTAATATTTGGTTATATGGAATTTTTAGAGGTTTCTGGAATTTTAAGGGTAATAAATTGGTCTGAAATACATAAACAGTAAAATATTAACCAAGTAAGTTAAAATAATGTAAGTGTAATTCATCATAAAGTAAGGTTGGGTTTTAAGATAAATTTAATTAGTTTAATTATCCAGCTATTAAATTTATCTCTCTTCTGGAACCAGTCTAGTATAACAACAACTTTTAGGCTCTTGTATTTTAAAATAAATAAGCACTATTTTTAGTCTCAGGAGCAGCTTTTTCTACTCAAGGCACTGAATTTCTTTTTCTTTTATAATTTTTTGTCTGGTTCTACATATTCAAGTTAGTTTATACCGTTATTCCCCCAAAGATGAAAGGTGACTCACCAAAAGATCAGAAATTAAATGTGATTGTCAAAAAGTAGTTCATATTTGTATAGTAACAAATATTCAACAACAGAAGCAAAATTATCTTTACATACCAAAAGAGAGGGGAAACTTTAGAAACGCTTCCAATTTGACTGGAAACATGTATCTTTCCATACAGGAATGAGGAGTGGAAATAAAAAAGACTTGTTGAGTTGACAAAAGCCTTAAGACTAAGTCACTGCTATGACATATTTTTTCAGAATCTTTCCAGTACTGCAGCATAATCCCTTTCTCTAATTTCTTAAGCATCTAACTTTTGAATTAAATGATGAGGAGAAGGCCAGGCGCGGTGGCTCACGCCTGTAATCCTAACACTTTGGGAGGCGGAGGCGGGCAGATTACCTGAGGTCTGGAGTTCAAGACCTGCCTGGCCAACATGGTGAAGCCCCATCTCTACCAAAAATACCAAAAATTAGCCGGGTGTAGCGGTGGGCGCCTGTAATCCCAGCTACTCAGGAGGCTGAGACAGAAGAATCGCTTGAACCCGGGAGGGGGAGGTTGCGGTGAGCTGAGCCAAGATGGCACCATTGTGCTGTAGCCTGGGCAACAAGAGTGAAACTATGTCTCAAAAAAAAAAAAAAAAAAAAAAAAAAACCAGAGAGAATTACAGATAAATTTTTAAAACAAAGTTATTTGCACAGAGCAAAATATATGTCATAAAGTAGGTTTACCACTTTGATACCTGCCTTAGAGAATGGCTTCAGGCTTCAATTAGATAGCCTCCTCCACCTGATTGCAAAAGGCAGAAATCCATACCCCACACGTTTTTCTTTCCCATGAATATAAGGCAGACACCCCACATTTTTAACTATGCTTGTATTCTGTTTTAAAAGTAATAAGAATACTAGACCCAGCTATTACAAAAAAAAAAAAAATTAGAAAATAACAAAATTTCACTGAGAGGGATAAAACTCCAGGAAGAGTAAGCTACCATACCACTTCTTCATAAACCATACTCCAGCCTCAGGCTGATTCCAATTTCTCCAGTTTTTTTTTTTTTTAGACAGAGTCTCACTCTGTCACCCAGGCTGGAGTGTCGGCCAGGCTGGAGTGCAGTGGCATGCTCTCGGCTCACTGCGAGCTCCACCTCCTGGGTTCACGCCATTCTCCTGCCTCAGCCTCCCGAGTAGCTGGCACTACAGGCACCCGCCACCACGCCCGGCTACTTTTTTGTATTTTTAGTAGAGACAGGGTTTCACCGTGTTAGCCAGGATGGGCTCGATCTCCTGAGCCACCGTGCCTGGCCCCAAATTTTTAATATTTAGAAAAGATTATTAATTGAGCCACTGCCCTCTGGGGGTAAGTTTAGAATCACAATCCTAGAGAAGGAATATGATACATAAAGGTTAATAAGGTTTCTAGTTCAAGAACATAGAACTGGTTATAAAGGGAGACACTGGTGTCACAACGGTTTCCTCTTCTAAGAAGCCAGAGTCATTGAAACTAGAAAACTGAATGCTGAGCCAGGGCAGCATACAATGAACTGTTTAAGCTACACTCACACATACACACTCGCCCACAAAACCCTGCCCCAAAGCCCTGCACAACTGAAAAACAGTGCTTAGTCACTGTGTTTTCTCTGAAACTCCTAAGTCAAGGCAGGGCCTTCCTTGGAATACACATCCTACTGTAAACTAAAAAACACACTAAAGAATTAGCTCAGTGCAATTTATGCCCCAACTTGCAACATTTCCATATACACCATTATGTGCACTAAGCACACTGCAGTTTTATATGATTCGGGGCAAAATGCTCCACACATTTCTTGGCCTCAGTTTCTTCATCTGTAAAATGACAAAATTGAACTAGATGACCAGTAGGATCCCATTTGCCCTAAGAATCTGTGATTGCCTAGGGTTATTTATCCAGAGATTTGGAAGCTCTTGGAAGTTTCCTGCCTATCCTGAGAGCTGTGTAGCTACTAAGTGATGGTCTCCATTTTATCAAAGCATACAAGTATTATTGATAGATGTGTCCTACTTAATGAAAAGGAATAAATTGCTATCATGAAAAAAGCATTTTGTTAAGTCATCATTTACACATTTTTTGTTGCTAATTCTTCCCAGAGGAACAAACATGGGAGATTCTCCCCTCTAGAAGTCTGCCACTTAAGACTGACAAGACAGATGTGGTTATATACGTAGAAGACAAATCAGAATAAAATAAAAATATGAAACAAAAGCATAGCTGGTGAGGAGAGGATGTGCATCCTATGTGAGTAAAGTACAAAGAAATCTTACATTCAAGCTGCCAAAGCAAAATTTTCCTGTAACTATAAAACTTTTACCTAGATGCTATGTTTCCACATTTAACTGATCAGACTATACACAAGAGAATTTCTATAACCTGCAGAAATAAAGCAAAGTGTGCTTTACTCAAGTTTCATTTCAACTCCTATTTACTTTCCCTCACATATATCTTCGCCACTAGGAAAAGAATGGTATATGTATCATTAAGCACAGCAAGCCTGGGTAGTAGCATAAAATGGATTAATTGCCCATTTTCATGAAAAGAAATTACCACATTTTTCAGTTGTTAGTAGTAGTTCACATTTAAATGTAGCATATATGGATGGTCATACTCTATTTCTGATTTTAACAGAATCACATCTGATTTTAAAGATGAATTATAATTTTTTTAAAATGCTTCCCATTGTGGAAACCTACAGTAACAGTCTTTGTGAATATTTTTCTTGCCCTTATCAGGATTATTCAAGTTTCTTTCTCACCAAGCTAATTACTCCATTTGAATGCAAACAGAAAGCAGGAAATTGAGCATAAGTCTATATTTGTAAATAACATAAGTTTTGAATTCTTTTTTACAAGTCATCTTGCAATAAGATTTCTTTCTAGTCACAGAGACGTTTTTTAAAAAGCTTAGACTACAAGTTCTGATAGTGAAAATAAAAAAATTTGACTAAGTGCACACAGGCACCCACCAAGTTGCAACTCTGGCTCCAAGATGGTGTGAAGGGAGTGATCAGCCAGCTTTTTGGAACCCAGTGACCTCTCATCTCCCTCCCCCTACATCAAATGCTTGTCTGCGGCCACCTTTCCAGCATTAGTGATAATACCACCTTTATCCCAGCTGCTGTTAAAAATAGCATCCATCAAATCCTTTCCTTTACACAAATCCAAAGAAGAGGCAATAATTAAAGTGCAATAGCTGAAAGCAGTAATTATTTTAAGGCTTTTTTAAAAAAAGTTATAAAAGGGTTTTCCCATCTTACTCTATAATCCTATAGAAACATGCCATGGATGGCTTATTAACAAGAATCGTTTCTGCGATCTCGTGTCCACAAGTTTTGGGTTGGAGCCTGACGCTAGCAGAAGGCATTCGACTTGAATAAACAAACACAGTTAAATTAGAAAAGTTCATTCGACCAAATCAGGAGACAAAAAAGTTCAGCTACATCGCCATCAAAACTTCCCACCTCTCTCTCCTTTCTTTTACAATTTTTTTCTCTTAAATAAAATAACAGAAAAGCCAGGTATCTTGCCGACTGTACTCACTGTAAATGGTTCTGTCTCTAATGGCCCTTCAGGATTAATCATCTGGCTCCTCCTCTCCCCGCTGTTTCTCTTCTTGTGGCCAAACAATATGAAGGCCAGTGTCGGGGCTGCACCATGCTGGAGGACACT